TGGTGGAAGGACAGCGGGCTGGACCTCCGCTACGACGAGGAGGCTGCCGACGCGGTGTCCAAGGCGGGTCTGACGGACGTGTTGCAGTGGTGGAAGGACAGCGGGCTCGCGTTTCAAATACAGCCTGCGCTCGGTGAACGAAGCGAGCAGCTGTGGGCACGCGCACGTGTTGCAGTGGTGGAAGGACGGACAGCGGGCTCGAGGTCAAGTACTCGCAGTGGACTGTCGTCGCCGCAGCCTATGCCGGAAAGGTCGCGCGCTTGCAGTGGTGGCTGGACAGCGGATTTGAGATGCGTTGGGATGGGCTTTGCTTTCTGTATACGGAACATCGTCCGGTGCTCGAGTGGTGGGAGGAGCGTGGGCTTTATCGTCTATGGCGAGAGCGAGAACTGCCAAACGCGCGGTCTTTGCTCAAGGCGATGGTTGCAGAGAAGCAGTTTCAGCTGCGAAACGCAGCTGTTCAAGAATGGTGGTTGGAGCGCTGCAGGCGAGAGGAAGTGGATGAACCAACCAAAAAAACTTGACTACTATCTCCCAGTCTGCAGCATTTTTGCTACTAATCCTTCAGTTGAGCCGCTTGATTCGGTCTTCTGGTTCCTGCGCGCTGTCGACGTCGACAACCGTCCGAAACTACTGCAAGTGCCACGTCCTCGCAGCCGCCGTTGCCGCTTTGGATCGAGCATTTCAGTTAACTGCTAATGTATTGCGAGAGCCGGAGCGAGAACCTGCCCCCAGAAAACTGGCCAACACTTTTCACCATCACCATGATCTCCAACCCATGTCACTTTGCAGCCGGGCTCCTGCGCAGCTTATGGTCAAAGTTCCACACCTCCTCGTCCCCGACTCGCTCAAAGCGCGTCTCGCCCTGTCCCTTCCAGTGCCGCGCGCCGTCGGCCCAAGCGACTCGATCGGAAGCGAGCCACAGCCTGACCAGGTGGCGTGTGCGCAGCGGCTCGTCAACGTACGCCTCGCGGGCGTGAAAGACCTCGTAGTTGTTGACAAACTGCATGTCCCCCCTCCGGACGGGGACGCTGACCGAGCGAGCAGCCGCCAGAAAGTGCAGCGAGTCCAGGGCCTCCTTCTGCGCGTCCGAGACGGGCGGCAGCGAGCGGTGCCTGCCCCAGATTCCGAACCCGGTGACGCTGCGGCGGGCGATGGCGGCCACGACGCGGCCGTTGTCGCGGTCGTAGGTGAGGAGCGGGCGCACGGCGTGGCGGCCGGGGACGCCGTGGAAGTAGTTTCCAATGTCGAGGACCCAGTCTTGGGCGAGCGTTGCGACGATGTCGGGGCGGGTGCGGGCGAGGGCGTTGTAGACTTGGCCGACGGAGGAGAGCTGGGTGTCGCCGCCGGACGCGGCGTGGGAGAGGACGAGGAAGGAGACGATGTTGCCGCCGGGGATGGCGTCGGTGTGGAAGACTTGGGAGACGGTTTGCTGCGCGGGGGCGGAGATGTCCTGCGGTTGGAATTCGGCTTTGTGTGTGGGCATGGCGGTGTAAATAGTGGGGAAGTGGAAAGTTGAGGAAAGCGAGAACGCAAGGAAGACGAAAAGAACCTACGATCGGCGCGGACGTGCATCAGAACCCCGTTCTGCTGATTCAATCGCTTGTCTCCAACGTAGCTGGCCAGACCTGCGTACACGACGATCGCGTCTTCGTCCGAGTAGGCGTCAATGTCGAACCCTCGGATCTGGAGGAAGCCGAGCCCGTTGAGGATCTGGTCCACCCAGATCTCGGTCCGGGCTTTCAGCGCATCGGACAGCGGAAAGGTGGCTCGGCTGAGCTGCGTCAGGGGCAAGTTGAGCGACTTCCAGTGGTCGAGGGCCGCACGGAGGTCAGCGTTGTCGGCGGGAGTAAAGGTGTAGAGCCACTTTTCCGGGTGGTTTTGGACTTCGAAGCCGTCCCACACCTGGTTGTTGACGAAAGGACGCGGTCAAAATCGGGTCAAAATAGTCACAGACTCTGTCGTCCCCCATCACCCATGGCCACCCCTAGTTTGGAAAACGAAACCGTCGGCTTACAGAGGGGCCCTCGATCTTCTCCGGGAAGCCCTCGGGCAGCGGGATGCCGCGGGCCCTTGGAGCGTTCCTGATCTGTCGCTCGACCCACTGGCCGCGATCGGGGAAGTATGAGAAGGCGGGGTCTGCCGGGTACTTCGCGACGGATGTCGTCGACGGACCAGCTTGCTTGGGCAGGGGTGAGGGGCTTGTTGGTTGCGGCGCCGGCAGCTGCTGGAGGCGGGGGTGCCGCTTCCGCATCTGCAGCGGCGGCTTCGGTCGCGCTGAGAGAAGGGTGGGTGGGCAGCGAAGCTGCAGCAGATGCTGCAGGGGCAGGCGCCATCGCAACCACTGTATGTCCTGAATGTCCTGAATGTAAAATAGCTCAAGTAGATATCAGTGCGTGTGCGCAGAACCGAGTTCTTTGTTCGCGCAAGGTTGTCGGCAAATCAGCAAAATGATAATATCATCATCGCGCCACTCCGCATTGCTTCCGAACCCCACCACCACCCGGTCGGATGCGGAATCGGAGATCCCTCCCTCCTTCCCTCCCTCCCTCTCTTGGCCCGGCCATCTTCCGAGCCGACCCGAAGATCCGAGAGCACCATTATTGACCCTCCATCCGTCAATCCTGCGCCACTCTCCCCAATCAAGGCATGTGCTCCCAACTGTTTTCTCTCGCACCCATCCCTGCAACTTCTTATCCACCCATTAACCCGCTCCAAGACCTTCGTTAAACATCTCCCCTTCCTCTTCGGATCGCGCCATCTTTTCTTAATGCCTAGGTTTCAAGCGACAGCTCTGTGCCTCTATATGGTCGCTGCACGGCCTGCCGACCAAAAGCTTCCTCATTGGAGAGAACGATTGTTTGTGGCTAACTGAGTTGAAGGGGTGCTGGAAAAGAACAACTCATCGAACTCTGAGCGTCTCTCGGTACTCGGCGCACCTCCACACAAAAGCCCGCTCCTCCATCCGCCCGTACCAGTCACTGCAGCGCAAAAGCCTTCCAATCGACCGCCGGTCCCCCATAGCCACCACCACGTCCTCAAGGTCCCGGGGAAGGAACCAGCCCTTCATCAGCGCCTCCACGACGCCCTCCCAAAAGATGCCTGGAAGCGAATAATGGCGATCGACGGCAGAGGTGGCGGAAGAGGCGAAAGAAGGGTACCACTTCTAATTTGCAGTTCGGCGAGGCGGCAAGCAGCGCTGCGACGCTGGCGACGGAAAGTGCGCCGTGAAGGCCGAGTTCGCGGAGGTTCGCGCCGTTGGTGAGGATTTGAATGAGGTGGAGGACCGAGGCGTCCGAAGGAGACCATGGCAGGATGAGAGACTGCAGCGGAGAGGAGGATAGCCTCTCAAGCGCATGGCTGATGCGGTCGTCACTTCGTCCTCCAAAATTATATTTGTATCGCATTGTAAGAGAGACGAGTTGTTTCAATGGTAACAGGGCGGTGATAGCGTCAGCGACAACAAGGTCCAATTTCCAGCGGGCTTCGAGATCGCGTTCATATGCTGCTGATAGAATCGTTAATTCCAGATACCGGAGCTGGTTCTCTCCGGCTGAGTTCAGCCCCGCCACAAACACTGCAAGACGATCCTCCCAGATGCGAATTTTCAGAGACTTCATGTTTGGCGACCTGCAGACACCCCGTCCCAACCCGTCGGCAAGACTTTCGATGCCCACATTTCCTTCGAGGCGCAGCTCAACCACCGACGGAGCGTTCATCAAACACTTCCAACTGCTGATGGAGGATGACCGGGTTCTGCACTTTCCATAGAATTTGACGCAGGCTAAGTGTATGAATCCGGCAGGTCTGAGAGTTCAAGAACTTGCCAATCGTGAAGAAGCTTTGGTCATTATTGTCGCAGTCGAAAGTAACTACTTGAACGCGGAATCGGTACGGACGGATCGAAAAATCCCGAGTTGAAAGTTTCGAAGGCTGCAGGATATGCCTGCTCCAGCAATGATGGAGAAATGCACGTCTACAGGGATCGGGCGTCCGATGGCCTTGAGCGAGGGATGCCGCAGTATTGCTCGCAGAAAAATCACCGCCGGCCTGGGTCCAATCATGGCTTTGGCCTTGCCGTACAGATTGCACATGCCGTATAGATTCCGTAACATCTTGCTCTTGTCGAAACCGATGGAGATGTGGAGGGCAGGCGGCGCGCCCCAATGCAATCGCCGCACGAAAACGTCGGCCTCATTGTGGATTCGTGCGTGGAGTGATGTCGCTCCCTCGTGGAAACGAAAGCCCTAAAAATTGGCCCGGCATAGCGGGAGTCGTAGCAATAGGGAGTGTTGTGTCAGACGACAGATCAAAAGGGCAAGTGGAATACAGTTCACACATATCTAACCATACGCGTCGGTGTCAATCAACTGTCGGAGAGAGATGAGGATGGCCAAGGCGGCTGCTCCGTCGAGAGGGTCTGCGGCTGAAGCCGCTGTTTTGGTGGCGCAGTTGCTGCAATGGTTCACCGTCATTCGCAAAAGCCAACTGATGAGGGCATTGTGCTGGACTTGGCGTCTCCAAGTCGGCTGCGCACCTACGTTAACACCGATAACCAGCTGATCGCAAGGATGAACTGAATTCCTGAGACACCTACACAAGTCAAGTTCCGTCAAATGAGGCAAGCAAATGCAGATTTGCTTTTCGCCGCTCAATTTGGTGAGCTTAGATTGGTTGCCACTTACCATGAAACTGGGAAATGTGCTGCTCTTGGTAACTTTTGCAGACGCAAATGAAGTGCGCATCCGTTCTAGAACACACCCACCGTACGAGTTGCAATAATGGCGGGCACTCACAATGGCAGCTCCCTCAGTAGTAGCAAACGACCTTTTCTTGCATCGTAGTGATAGTTCTGGCATGGAAAATTGGGAACCACGCACCTCGCCAGAACTGCCATGCTGGGTATACCAAGCAGGACCACGATCCTGGTTCAAAAAATCCGCAACTGAAGCTTGAAAAATCAAAGAATATTTTAATGTTTTTAAGGAAGAAGTACATCCGCCTGGTTAGCTCAATCGGTAGAGAGTGTGACTCTTAATCACAAGGCTGTGGGTTCGACCCCCACATCGGGCGCTCACTATTTTCAATTCCCAGTTTGTTCTATTACCCAGAATAATTTTCTTTGGCGATACTGTGATACTTAGGTGTTCTTACTGCGGCGGGAATGTTGCGAGTAGCGATGCTTTCTGATAACAAGCGAGGCTCTTAACGAATTAACGCGTCGACATTTGGATCCCTACCCTTTGAAGGAGAGGGAACCTTATCAAAGATACTGACATCCGTCGTGCGAAAGCTGCAGTTGTACACTTGGGTGGGTGGATCCAAACTGCGGTTGAGCGATGATGGCGTGGATGAATGTTCTGTGTTGTAAATGTTCGAGGTCCTTTTTTGATTGTCGGTGTCATAACAAGTTTAAATACATGGACCCACACTCTGTGATCAAGATAACATCTGGTGGGAAAACGAACAGAACGAGATACCAAAATGACCGTTATGCTGGTTAGTTTATTGATGCGACCTAACTCTATCTAACTTGTTGCTCCCTCATTGAGAAAAAATCAGTGTAACATTTGCGCAGCTGTCGACTTTTGTGACGACCGCATTAAAAAAGGGTGGGAAACAGGTGCCGTTTCCGTTCACCAGAGCCCTATCGACCAAGCGCAGCTGCTGCGAAAGATCTCGCGAGCAATTTTTGTAGCTTGGAGTACGATCCTGGGGTCCGGGTTTGGGTTAAAGTTGAATGAGAAACGGAAACTACAATGTGGGGCACAAGAGGTCTGAATGAGTTGGCCACCAACCTTTTCGACCAGCTCGACGCAGAGCCCAGACGCCCGCTGCATCCACGCGCCATTATGGTGCTCGAACATCTGAGTACTCGACGGCCCCGGCCCGACCTCGCACAATCTGTAGAATACGGTAGTTGTGTTCGGCGCTTGCGACATACAGAAGCCGTTGCCCGTGTCTTGTATTTGAAACGCGGAGGCCGTTCCAGGGCGAGAGAGAAGCGGTCGGCGTCGGAGCGGTGCTGACGATTGACGTGGGCTTTGTGGATCCCGTGGGGTTTCGAGCTCCGGTGCTGCTGGGGATTGTGACAGGTCCTATTGTTGAGATGGGAGCGGTTTCTTCCGCGGACGTGTCCGGGTCGGTGTCCAGGGGATGAAATCAGCGGCAACGGGTTGTCTGCTGGTGAGGCCGGTGAGCTCCCAGGAGATGGCGAGAGTGACGTTGGAGCGGTACTCGTTGTGGGAAGGGACCCGCTCGTCTGAGAGGGGTTCCTCGTGCTGTAATGGGCAACGTATCATTTGCCGTCGGGAGCCGTGTCGGTGCTGCGTTTGCTGCTGAGGATATGAATCACGACCGGAATCAGAACGCCTGCAACAAGAACTAAGAGAATGGCGGCAACAAAAACTGCATTTCTTCTTTTGAAGCGACCTGCGCAAATGAATATAAGCAACGCACGCCCAGCCGACGTAAGCAGGCGCCTCAAGAACACACCTTTTTGGACTGACTGCTCCTCCTCTTTCCGCACGTCATCCGGCGACGGAAACGTCAGCTGCAGATTGGAGCGTGCGTCATCCGCAGGCGGGAACGTGTACGCCTCATCCACGGTTGTCTTTTGCTCGCCGAACTGCCGATCGATGCGCTGCGCCAGCCATCGGGCGATGTCGCTCGAGTAAGCTGAGCCGTCTCCTTGGCCTGCGCTGCCGGCCGCCGCGGATTTTGCTGTCGTCAATGCGTCAATGGAAAGGTCCAAGGGACGGTCGACCCGCTCGGACGAGTCTGCGGATCGCTGCTTTTCGCGAGCGCTTCTGGCGTCGTAGGCGGTCTTCTCCGGGGTCGCTAACGTTGGCGCCGACGCCGCCGACGCCGCTTCGGCCTGGGTGCGAGCGGAGCGAGGCGGTCGGCTCAAAGCGGGCCGTCCTTGCGACATACGGAACTTGATATTTATGACGGTCGTTGCTGTTTGTTATCTATCAGCGGCAGCAACACAAACAAAGGAGAAGAAACAACCTTGTTTTTACCTCCCCGACATGGCAAAAATGAATTTTTTTTTTTTTTTTTTGGTTCTCACGCTGTTGTGTGTGCCTTTTGCCTAATTTGGAAAAATGGGCGGAAAACACAAACAAACACCAACGCTTTAGCCACACTTGGCGCAGCAAATAATAAGCTGGCTTAGTCAAAACACACCCGCACTGGATGGATAATGTGGGATCGTCCGATCTGTCTCGCCGCCCGATGAAGTTGCCACATCCCAGTCGCATCCCCGCGGAAGCGAGACTTTGGAGCGTTCGCTGCAGCAATGCTCTCAGACCTCGACGGCAGCACGCCGGGAACGAGCCAGCGAATGTGCAAGTTGATTAGGGGAGATGGGGGAAGCTTGAGTTTATGATGAAAAAAGAGCATTTTGGAGGATATTTGGGCACCCTGTTTCCTCGGCAATCTTGATAGGAATCCAACATCACTTTTCATTATTCTCCTTTCCCCTATTGCACTGCACAAGCTCACGGCTAGCACAAATAAGCTGAGTGTGTCTAGATATCCAACGTGGCGACAGTTGCCGCGTCGTTTCCGTCTCAACACTCCAAGCCCAAATAATAAATTACAGTCCAACGCTGTAACAAGCAAACAATAGACCAATTAGTACGAAGATGAGGATTGACTCGCAAGTCCTTCTTTTCGCCACTGCCAAATCGACACCACACTTTGCGCAGAGGATGCTTGCTGTAATGGATACGTATCTTACATCGACGGAGGAATGTCCCTTAGCTCCTCCTGCCCTTCCCCGCGAAACGCACGTGGTGCGGCACCCTACACACCGGCAAGCAAAGTAGTATCCCCCAATGGTAATCCCCACGCAAATCACAACCATTAGGACTTTTATCTTCCGGGGGGGCTGACCACTTTTCCTTTCATTCCCGTTTCCTCGAGCCCCATTCACCGATCAGCTTCCACGCTTGATAGTTTGCCGTTTCCTCAGGCACGCCTCAACGTGGTGCTTCATCTCACCACTGGCAAGATCCACCGGAGTTCGCTCGTCCACACACTTTGCGCCAATGTCTGCGTCAGCATCCAGCAGCAGTCGAACAAGCTCCAGAGAGTTATTCTCGCACGCATGATGCAGAGCTGTCTTTTGCATCACGTCCCTGCTGTCCACCGCAGCCCCATAGTCAAGAAGCACGCGCACAACATCAATGTTACCACTATAAGCAGCGTCCACCAGTGCCGGGCATTCGAAAACAATGTTGTCATCATCATCGGACACGCCGCTGTTGTTATCGTCGAGGCGCCAAACGCGCCGGCTCTCTCGGTTCAGCAACAGCTCCACAATATCAGCGTACCCCTGTTGTGCTGCAGTGAGAGCGTCTTCCCGAGTGATTGCGCCGTAACCCTTATCAAGGAGAAATTCAAGAACTTTGGTGTCACCAATCAAGCATGCGAGGTGCAGCAGGTCGAATTCCTCTGCGTCCTCGGGGCGCATTTTTTTGGTGTCAATCACGTATTCGAACAGCCAGCGAAGCATTCCTAGGTGTCCCTCCCGTGCGGCCACAAAGAGCGCGTCTCTAGCAGCATCCTGGGCAGCGTGATTCACGGGTACGTCAGGATCACGGACCCATGCGCTCTCCTCCAGAGTTGCGACGCAGGACCCGTGCTGCAGCACGGCTTGAACCGTTTCCAAGCAGCCGCTCTCGGCAGCGTGGGAGACGGGGTCGCCGAAATCCGGATTTGCGAGCCTCGCGCCACACTGAAGAAGGCGCCTGACGCTGTCTGCTCGACCGTGTGTGCAAGCGCTCAGAAGCGGGGTCCACCCTTCCGGCGTCCGCGCGTTCACGTCCGCTCCTTTTGCAACAAGATATGAAATAACTTCGGTGCTTCCGTTCGCCGCAGCGTAATGCAAGGAAGAGCTGCCCTCATCGTCGCGAGAATCGATGCTCGCGCCACACTGAAGAAGAAACTCGACAACGTCCAGATGCCCGCGGTCGCACGCGAGGTGTAGGGGTACGGTACTCTTCAGACCTTTGTTGATAACGGCGACATCGTCATCCGCGTCGCCATCGTTCGCTGTGGCCTCCATCCCGTCGACGGCGGCCCCACATTCAAGAAAGAACTCGGCCAGATCGAGCCGCCCGCTGTCCGCCGCAAGGCACAGCCCCGTCGAGGCAACGCGTCGATCCAACGCGGGAGACTCGCTGCGGATCAGCTCCATCCGCACTTCGCTCGCGTGCGCATGCAGAAACAGCCACCTCGCACGCCGTCGTTTCCGGCGCGGGCCGCGGCCGCCACGAGAGGGGTCGCCGTATGCGCCTGTCGCTCCAACGTCGGCGGCCGGCCGCGACTAGGGACTTGACAAGATCGAGCCGCCCGTCCGTTGCTGCAGCTACGAGTTCGGCGTTCAGCACGGTCAGATCGGGGGACTGAGGACGTGGATCGCCGTCGTCTTGATTGGTGGTGGGAGTTCATGCTTGCGCTCGTTCTGAAAGGACGACTTGTCAGTAAAAATCAATAGAGATAAAAAAGTAAAACAACAAATCCGCGGGTTGCGCGATCGGGACGGTCGCGATCGTTCTCGCCAGGTTAGCAGCGGCACTCACAATCGGCATCACTCAAAGTGATCGGCATCTATGCGATCAAAGCAGCAGGTAAATGCGTGGGATGGGAAGGTTGGCATCGTTGCCGTTCGAGGTCAGCGTGGCGCTCACCGGCACGGGCGATGGTGAGGCTGTGTTGCCATTTTTCCCCGTTGCACACATTGAACAACACACAAACAAGATGGGTTTTAACAATACCATGTTACCTCGCAGCTTCCCCGACTGCTACGGAAGCGTTTCATTTGACCACTCTGCATGGCGGCAATTACCACATACGCACACACGCACGCACACACACTTGCACTTTCCCTCCGTCATCCAGCGATTCCCCGCGCCATCCCCTGCAAAAGATCGTCCTCCTCTGCGCGAGACGCCGCAGCTCCTGCCGCTTCTCCTCCAGCTTAATCGTCGCAAGGGCGAGATCCTGTTTGCCCGGGGTAACAAACACAAAGGATGGGATCGCAGTCAGCATTTAGGCGTCCTTCA